TCTTAATTTCTCAAAATATTTCCAAAGCCCTCAGCTTGTTGGAGTGCTGTGTGGAAGTACTCTGAGTGCAGCACTGACTGTAAAAAGTAGAGCAATGCTAAATTTTAAGGAACAAACCCTCAGCTTTGAACTATCTCAATGGCTATTATAATCTGCAAAAACAAGTGTTGTTTCATTTGAACCTTTGACTATTTCTGTATGTGCCTGCAGGCTCAAGTAGACCCTTGCTTATATGTCAGGAAAATTAGAACTATACTTTTCCTTTTCTCCTCCACACTCATTTCAGAGGATAAACAACTCCGACAAGGTAACATTAAAATGCAGTGAGTCTGGCAGGCTGATTTGTTCATCCTCAGGTAGAAGACTTCCATTTCAGCAAACTCCCATCTCTGTAATCCCTCATCCTCTACTCCAAATTTTAGATATCCCACCATAGGAAGTGTATTCCAGAATCATGTATGTATCACAAAAGCTGCCCACTCTTGCATTCAGTTAATGGGGTTTCAGATCAAGATACCAGCTCCCCTCAATCTCAGCAGAGTCAAGGTTGGCATGAGGAAGGAAGTAGCCTCATGTATTCTTGCTAAGCTTTTTAGATATTTTGCAATTCAGCACCTTTAGCTTCTGCCAGAAAACAGAGCCGGTTCACTCCATAGCAGTCCCATATGTGTTCCTTGAAAATAAGCAAGTGAATCAGAAACGCACATCAAAGCAAAGGTCCACTCACTGCTCGCTCCAGACGCGCGCTGCGCCAAAGGTGAGAAGCGATGGTTGTACACAACAGCCTGCTGCAGGCCTCTGCAGCTGCCTTGGCGTCGCAGCTTTGCTCTCCACTTGTCATTGCCGGGGCACAAGCAGGACAAAAGAAATATTACTTTTTTAGTCCAGCCACTCAATGTTTGAAGAAGGTATATGTATTTGCCAGCAGGATAAAGCTTTTAGAGGAGGAGCACTATATTTTATCAAGCGTAGTAAACAAGTATATATTGTACACAAATATTTTTGAAACAAATGTTAAAATCAGAGTTTGAGTACAAGGCTTGAGTTTTGTTCTTTTACGTGCAGATTTAAAGCAATTAATCTTGATTATGGTAACAAGAGGAATAGCTATATTCAATGCTTACACAATGGCAACAGGGGAAATATATTCTTGATGCACTCAGCAAAAAGGAAGTCAATGAGTCTGGCTTCATTCAGTGTTTCAAGAGCACCATCTTGTGGTTTTCCCTTTCCAGAACATATTTTATTTTTTAAAATTGCTGTAGTACAACATCATTTCCTGAAAGGGGATGTCAGTCTTTGGCTTTAGGTGAGAATTTTTTGGGAGGGGGAGGACTATCTTTTCACAATCTTAATCTAGATTCCTATTTTAAATTCTATCAGTCAGGACAGACAGTACATTTTTATCATGAAACATTCTGAGCTTTTTCGAGAGTAATGGCTGCCACACATTTTAAGCTATTACATTAAGTAATTTGAGTTTTAAGCTTCTTGTCAAATAAACTATTCTGACATTTTAGAATGTAGGTTCTTTGTAATGGAGCCTTCAACAAGTGACGGAGCCCTCAACGAGTGACAGCATACTTGATATATACTGAAATCTTACCATGTGTCAGAAAGAAGCCTCCTCGAAAAAAGTTAGATAGATTATGTGTTATGCTAAGGTGCCAAATGTTGCGTAGTTCAAGCAAGATTTTGTTTCTCTTCTTTCGGTTCTTCCATGTCTTCTAGCCCTCACAGCACAAAAAGCCACTGCTGGAGGATAAATTATACTGCTAGGTACGTACAAGCCTGTCCTTATTTTTACAAATGATTATATTATCAAATTAAACATTACCATCTGACACTTCTCTCCAGCTTTTCTGGCTGCTGAGGTGGGACAGCTGAGATAGCTATCATTTTCAATATTTTTCAAAAAAGTGCAAGCACCTCTTTAAACTTCTCAGGTAGTAGCTATATAAGGTTTTTCAAAACGGCATAAAAAGTGCAAGAGAATACTTGCAAAATACTGATCTGAGTCACTATTGATTTCAGAAAGTCGCCTCAAGAGGTAAATCCCTGGTTTTGCCTCCCTTATCAGTGTTAGGATGAGGTCATGGAGTAATCTATCAGCAAAGAGTTTTTCAGAACAGGTCAAATGGCTACTAGCTGTAGCAATTTACAGGACAGAGAAATATCTCTTGCTTCCTACTGATGTAGAACCATGCCTAGAGATGAGCAAGTAACTGGGACATGTACTCTACCGCCCAGACCGGTTAGAGAACCCTGCCGGTCTGCATGTATTTATCACCCTTATTCTGTAGCATCACTCTGGCTGCCAACCGGCAAGTCTGAAAGCTGTTTAGCAACACAGCTTTAGCAACTGCTATGCTATTCTCTTATACTAGGTAGGACCCCTGTGTTGGCCATATGTCTACGGCAGTTTCAAGATAGGCTCAGTACAGCCCTTAACAATATTCTGCCTTTCTGACTATGTTCCCACCTTTGAAACATAAACCCCCTCCTAAGCGTTGACCAGAGTGCCAGCTAGTACTAACACATAGTCTATAAAGAGCTGCCTTGTCACTCAGCACTATACACTGCCATGCCTGGGTGGGGACTGATTGTCCACTCTCTGCTTTTTTTCAGCTGCATACAATTCACCTGTTTGTTATGAGCCCAGTGTAACAGTAAAATGGCTTTCAGGAAAATGCATACAGTTCATATACAGTTTTGAGGATCAGCATTGTTGGGCAACGTTTCAATTGTTGGGCAAGATTACTATAGGAAATACCTATCAGCATAGATCCTCACGCTTCTTTTTAAAAATTTTCCGTAAGAAAATTGTAAGCATACGTAACAAGTTGGGGTCCTTAAGAAGAGGTCACAAATGGACTACACTAGTATAGGAAGTTCCCCGTTCTCAGCATGAGCTAACTTAGGCTGAGAATTGCCTAGTTTGCAAGAATAGATCAGGTATCACATTTTACTTTTAATTCCTTTCAAACACAGGTTGTTACTCAAAGCAGTTTGCCCATAATTATTTTCTAGATTATTAGACTATGCTTTTAGATTAGGATTCACAGAAGACTATGTATTTCTTTCCAGCACACTTAACTATCCACCTGTTGAAAGTTGCAATCTGGAATGGCTGCTGTTTATTAATACCAAGACTGGTAAGCAAGGCTCTAAGAATCAGGATAAGACAGACTCTAAAAATGGTATGGCAAGGGAAAAGAAATGACCACATCAGTTGGCAGAAGACACATTACAAATTGGCATAAGCATCGTTAGAAGTAATCCAACCTTTGCCACAAGGCTTGAGGCAGAAGATATAATAAAAATTCTGCCTTGGACTGCTTCCTATCCCTCAAAAGTTAGTGGAAAATGTTTCTTCATATTGCTTGTCTCCATTTGTGACTATTGAACTTGTATAGTCTCATTCCTTCCCCGTTGTCTTGTCCCCCTTGTCAGGAAAGGTCAGTTTCTAGGTGGGGGAATGAAGCTGCCCTTTGCTTTCTCTTTGTAGAGATTGTTAGGCCAACAAGCAGCTGGAAACAGTTTCCTTCAGTAAGTCCAAAACTCAAAAAGGTAAATTTGTTAAAGTTTGGAACACCCACATTTAGCTCCAAATCAGGCATAGAAACTTCAATTTAAGATATATAATATTCCATAACAGCAGTCTAAGGCTGCATGCCTGTGCCATGCTCTACAGGAACATGGCATTATTGGCCTGTGCCAATAATCTACAGGAAAGGACAGTTCTACTGAACTCACATTAGGATCTCTGTGCTGTTCAGGACACAGGAATTCCAGGAGGCAAAGGTGAAAATTTGATAACCAGCTTGTTCGCAACATTTCTTACACATTTGTGCTAGGCCTGTAGCCTAATAACAGATTGATTATAATTAGTAGTAAATCAAGTCACTGACCACTGGCTATTTTCCATATGTCACAAAAGATGCTGAAGACCAATACCCAATAGCTGAGGGCTGTTATCCTCCATAAAAACACCACTCTTCTGGCCTGCAGCGTGGGACTAGTTAGTGAAACTTTTGTGGCCTAATGAATAAGAAAAGGTATAACAGGATGGAAGACTTCTGGCTTTCACAGTTGAATCTTGAGCATATCTCATAAGTGGACTTAAACAGACCACAGCTGCATAAAATGAAAGTTCTTTGTAGTATTCAGTCAGGTTCTTAAAGTCTCAGATTTAAGTTAGTATATTACATTATCATCTAACTGCAAAACGTTAATGATTCCACACAACTTTTTCCTACTACTGTTGTCCTGAATGACAAATGAACAAGTGCAGAAAAAGATGCTATGTAGCATTTAATACTGTTCTACCAAAAGTTCAAGGAAAACTGACTACTCAGGTAGGACCTACTAAGCTGCATTCTTAGTCTGTTATCTACTTACTCCTGATGTAAATAACACAAATAACACAAAAAAATCAGCGGTCATTTTTGACAACACAACCAGTGCTTTCCTTGAAAACTTTGCCATGGAATACCAACCGCAAGTTTACTATTAGGCAGTTGGTTCTATAATAGCATCATAAATTCAGTCAATAGAAAAATTTCCACTGAACGTGTTTGTTCAGAGACTACAGAAATTTACTACTAAGAGCCTTTAGGTAAGCTGCTGGGTCACGGCAGGAGAATGGATTTACGCAAAAATAGAAGAGAGACTTGGTCTTCATCAATTAATGTTTTTAAGAATCACATACTGGGAAATGAGCAGGAAGAGTAAACCTTTAACATTATAAACAGAAAGTCCAGACTCACAAATCTGTTGAAAACAGTAATTTATTTTCACATTTACAATACAAACACATGAAAATATTTAAAGTGGTATTTACAAATATATACAAATAGTTAAAATATGTCTTATAATTCAGAAAAAATAGCAAACCAAAATATATATATTTTTTAGCAATACAGCCAAGATACAGT